CCAAGCCCCGTGCTAAACCCTGTCCCTAAGCACCATAACTACATGACTTTTAAACATGTCCAGGGGTGGCGATCCAACCACTTCCCTGGGCAGCCTGTTCCAGTGCTTGATAACCCTTTCAGTGAAGATATTTTTCCTAATATCCAACTTAAACCTCCCCCGGAGCAACTTGGGGCCATTTCTTCTTGTACTATCACTTGTTACTTGGCAGAAGAGACCAGCACCCACCTCTCTACAACTTTTCAGGTAGCTGTAGAGACTGATAAGGTCTCCCCTGAGCCACCTTTTCGTCAGATTTCAGAAATATGTGTCCAGTGTTAGCAAAAAGAACATTTCCTTGCACAGAGACTGCCCACATGGATCATGATGCGCTGTGGGCAGGTATTGCAAGATGCAGAGAAATCCTATAGTGACGTGAGCCTTACCACTGGGCCATGATACTCACCCTTGGTCCTGCTCCCCTGGCGTTGTGAGAGTCCAGCAGCTCCCAGTTAGCCGGGTTGGTCAGTAGAACAACAAAATTAAACTGCTTTCACCAGTGCTAGCTCTTGTGTAGACTTCGTCTCAATCATCTGGAAAAGGAACAGTGAAATTATTCTTGCTCTGGGATAAAAATGGGTGAGGGTGGGGTGTAAATGGAGATGGTAAGTTTCGCCCAGAGTCAGCAGTTGTCAGCTTGCATGCCCAGATGCTGTGGGCATGCACTGGTGGGTATGCAACTGCACTGGCACAACCCTTGCCTAGCTAACCTCTATTGATGTTGCTTACCTGCTGCTTTAAATCAAGCCTAGAACAAGGCTCTATGCTCTTTGGTGTGGGGTCACTTACTGTGGTAGTTTTGCTTAAGAGCAGTGGTTAGGTGCTGAGTACTCTCCCATGTCTAATAAATGAAAGGAAGAATAAGATGCCGGTGTAAGCAATGCATACAATTTTGGTATAGCCTACAGCCAAGGTATTGTTGTGTTTGCCTGTGCTGTGGAGCACGAAACAGCTTCTCAGCTCTGGGAAGTAATCTCTGCACCCAGGATAATCACTGGTCCCTCCTGCCTGGACTCTACAGAGCTCAACAGGGCTGACCATGATCTGACCCTCTGCATGGACTCAATAAGGCCACAAGAGAAAGCCCAGAAAAGGCTAACATATGGAGAGAGTGAACACACTGAAAAGAGATCAATATGGTTTCCTGCACTTATTGTTCCAGACTCAGCATGTGTTAATTTGGAGCACTGCACTGGGCTAGCCCTACCACGTTAGCTCAGAGATGCTATGTCTTGTCCTGGTAACAACACAGCCACACTAATGTGGCAATGCAGGCAGAGCTATTAGAAATTTTTTTTGTAGACGTTGCTGTCAGGCGAATGACCTCATCACATAATATGGGCTGTCTCCAGCTCCAGAGCCATGTGGGAAATCTTTTCATGGCACAAGCTGGTGCAAGTAGAAACCTCTAAGAAATAAGAATAGCCAAGGCTCCATGCAGCCAGCTGCCCTGTTTCCATCAATGGCCACAAACACACGTAAGAATGAAATAAGAACAAGACAAGTGTATGTTACAATTCCCCTGTAACATCTTCTAGCATTCAACAATTATCAGCTCAAGGAGTTTCTTTTGATGCTGGTCCAGCTAGGTCTCTACATGAGAAAATGGGAATGACAGCAGCACATCTTCAGTGCCCACATTCCACAGGAATTTCATTTCACCAACACCAGAAATGAAAGATTTCGTGGAACAGGCAACAATCTGCACCAGCACATTTGGGATGACACTCACAGAGATCTTCCTTCTGAAGAGTATGGTTTTCAGAGGTTCCACTGAGAACAGATTTTGTGAAGCAGAGTGAAGAGTGTGAGATAAATTTGGGAGAAGTGGAAAAGGACCAGACCACTACCAGAATACATCTGAAATTCTCATACAGACATTTTTGCATTGAAGAGTTCACACCGATCTGCTGTCATCCCCATGTACAAAGGACTTGTCTTATGGAACAACTGCTTCTAGCTGGACACTTCTAGTTGAGTACAATTCTTCCTGAAGGATTTCCCACTTAAATCTGTCCTGTAATTGGAAAGCTTCACCTCTGTAAACAAGAATGATCCTCCAGAAAGGAGTGTTTCTGGAAGAGGATGCACAGAGCTGAATGTAGGAATTCCAATCCTAATTTATCTCAGGTAGACAAAATTTGTTTTGATGGGAGCATTAAGCGTCCTGCAGCTTGGTATGAACTGATGGACTCTTGCTTACTCCTGGCATTTACTCTTGCAAATGAATCAGTTGCTTACGCCTCCCTGCCCACCTCTCCACTTGGTTCCTTTTTAATTTTACAGCTTCCTGAGCTTGACACTGGGAAATCGATAAGTAATTTAGAGGCCAGTAAATACGGATGAAAACAAGTTATTTTGTAGTTTTATAAATATTTGGAAACCAAAATTATCTAAGAAAACAGGTGCTCAGTTGACTCAGCAACCCATCCATCAGCATCACACAGTTAATTACATAAGATCATAAACATTTATAATTAGAAGGCAAACAAACAAGAATTTTATAAACAGCCCTCTTGAATCAGGCTGCACATTAAATATTTGTGATAAGGTAATTAAGAATAGATTTACAATCCTGGCTCAGTGTTTAATACTTCAGAGAATGGATTTGATTCTTTGGAGAATGTTCTACAGCCAAGTAGAAAACATTCGATTTCAGCTCTTTTATCTGAGGCTTAAAGCAGTCTCACAGAATCATTGGTTCTGTAATTGATCAGAGTGGAATTTCATTCATTACAGAATCACTCAGCTCATTTAAAAATATGTCTAACGTCCTTTGTCATGGGCTGATCCACTTCAGGCCTTCTTCAAAGCTCTGTATCCTTGGCTGGATCTGCCCGCTTTCTGTAAGTCCTCCTTTTTATGGCTGATGCTTTGATCAGATGATGTCAGGATTCTCAGCTGTGTTTCAAAGTAGGGAGGAAAACCCCACATTTTTCTGTTATGATGTCATGGTGTTTGGTTATGAAAAGCCAGCATCACTACAGGAGTACAGCTGTGCAATCCCAGTGGTCTACGGGAACCAGAGGGAAGATCTCTCCTGTATTGTAGTGCCCTGTGCCATTCCGTATCCCAAAACAACCAGCTCTTCATACTTAACTATCCATTGTAATTACTTCTACAGGCAGTAAGCAGGCTCAGCACCCCATTACAATGAATGTGGGAGTGCCCCTGAAGCTAATCTGTAATCAGGTCAACAGGGCTTCTAGTTCTGCTTAAAACTTGAGAGGCTAGAAACTCAATCTATACAGAAGATAGCAATTAAATTCTGTAAAATCAGATGCTCACCCTAAGAAACCAGGTGGCTGCATTCCATCAGTGAGTAATGGAGAGATCAGCCCTAAGGGTATGATGACCTTCAGATATTTTGGGTTTTGATATAGCACAGGTTTAGTCCAGTAATTAGCAGAAACTAGAAGAGCCTGGAAAAGGTGATCAGAGGATAAAGTCGTAGCATTTGATTCATCAGGGATAGCTGTAAACCACTTTATTCTATGTCAACCATCTTGTCTCCACCCATTGCTGGTCAAGAGAATCTCCTAATTTATGCATAATGTTGCTTCTTATTTCTAGTGGGTCTTTTGTTCTTTGTTCTAGTATTTATATGCTTGCAAGAGGCAGGCAAGAGAGCTACTTTTCCTAGAAATGTTTCTGTTAATCTCAATCCTGGCCAAGAATGGTGAAGCCTTTGTTATTAAGAGCAATGAAGTTTTCCGTGTGCTAACTTGCTACCTGCTGCTCTGCCTTCATTTACATAAGTCACAAAGGTACTTTCCTAACAGACAGATTGCTGCAAAACAAGGGAACTTAGACCCATCTCATTCTGCTTAAGTCCAACTCTCTAGCAAAGCTTGTTAATTATGTTACAGTGCATCAGCTAAGCCAGTCTACACAAGATGCTGCAGCTTCCTCCAGCCTCCATGGAGAAGAACAGCACAGCATTGCAGTCACTGCTAGACCTAGTACTTTCAAAGGCTCTAGCCAGAGCCTGGCAGCTTGAATAATAACAGAGCTTCATACTCAAATACTGTCATCATCTAAGCAACTTCTAAAATTACTTAACCATTCAGTCCTCCTGCAAGGATGGGGAGGATGACATAGACCACCTGAGGTGAGCTAACCGCTGGGTAGAAAGGCCTGAGCTCCTCGCTTCTCTCAGATATGGAGACCACTAGAAGTCAAGTGTCCTACAGCTCAGTGCCATTCCCCAACATCAGCTCTGGTATATCCAGATGGTAGCAGGTCATGTGCATTGCATGGATACTCAGAGCACCCATGGTGGAAGCTCACCTGAAATTGTTTCAAGCGTGTTGGTTTCCCCCTTGGAAGGGAGCAATGAGGTATGATGAGGTGCCTGCTCTGCAGATGAGCAAAACTTTGTCTAGAATAACAAACCATTTCCAGGTATAGACAGACCTTTTTTTTTTTTTTATTAGATTGCCACCTCTGGCCTCCATGTGCGTGTCTGTTCTGCTGCTGTGTGTGTGTGTCGGGGGGAGAGACTTGGGCTGTGCACACACATGACACTGGTGCAGCGGACGTCACTGCCACGTCAGATGCAGTGACACCCCCTCCAAGCACACGCCGTTAGCTGGGTGAATCATGCCTATGCAGCACGAAAACCAGTCTGGTGATAGATAAACCTTGGGCGTTTATTGATAAACAGATACTGGTTTATGGTAAGAGCATAACTCACTCTGCTGCATTTACAGTCCGTTTATTGATTGCTGAGATAAAGCTGTAATCCTTTTAATTCAGGGGGAAAGGGATCCAGCAGAGCAGGAGCACCAATGCCCTGCCAGTCGGTAATTAAAATACATGATTTATCGTCGAATAAACACTGGCTGAGGGAGAGCTGAGCCAACCAGCTGGCTGGGGGCAGGATGCTGGGGTAGGTTTATGGTTCTCTTTCTAAAGTTTTGTTTCTGTTTTATGTTTATTTCTTTCCCCCTTCCCTCCAGGTCTAATAATACACGAAGGGCCCTCGGTTTACCGGATTTTTAAACGGTGGCAGGCGGTCAATCAGCAGTGGAAAGTGCTGAACTATGACAAAACAAAGGACATGGAGGAACAAAAAACAGGGACCAGGACAAATCAGCGCACCTCCTCCCAAACCACCCACTCGTCCTCTACTGGTGGTACAGCCACTAACTCCGCTCCAGCCGACAGCGGGGCACGGGCTGCCGGCCATGCCACAGGCACCCTCTCTGACCACCACTGTGCTTACACCATCCTGCATATACTCAGCCACCTGAGGCCTCACGAACAGAGAAGTCAGTCTAGTAGTAACAGAGAGCTCGTCATGAGGGTCACGACAGTCTGAGCCGAGGAATTCAGGAGGCCTTAACGCAAAGCGGAGGAGACAAAGAACTCATAAAGCAGAGGAGCATGGTGTGCCTTTTTCTTTCTCTTTCCTTTCCTTTTTTTCTTTCTCTTTCCTTTCCTTTTTTTCTTTCCTCCTCTCCTTTTCTTTTTTGGTAACTGCACAAGATATAAGAGGCGGCACCTAGCCAGCTGAGGAAAAAAGCAAGTGGAGGGAGAGCTGCACACTCATGCTAAAGAGGTTAACGTTTTCCAGCCAGTTTAAAAACAAACTAACTAACAAGCAAGAACACAAATCACAAAAATAACCCCAACAAAACAAGTGCAATACAGACTACAAACTGAGTAGGCAGAGTTCTGGGGAAGCAGAGGAACAGACAGTTTAGCATGGCTTACAAGTCCTGTTACCTGGAATAGGTAATGCTCTGTACATGCCCCTGTACACACACGCACGCGCACAAACCCACACGCACCTAGTGTGAGATTTATGGAAACAAGGAATGGAACAAAATATTTGGAGTATTTTTATTTTCCAGACTGTGATTAACCAGGGTTATGAGTTATTTTGTTTCATGAGTCACCCTGGAGCCTTGTTCAATTTACCATAGGATACCTGAAGTGAAATGGCTGGGGATTTTTCAGTATTGATTTACAGAAAGAGAGACTGAATCATCCCACCAAGAAAATCTAAAAAAACCCAAGCATACTCAAATTTCGCAAAAAATCCTGTTTTCTTTTTTATAATGTTCCTGACAGGGGGTTGCTAGGGTGGAACTGGGAGGGGGGGGGGTGCTCCATGACCTTTGTTTGACGTAAAGGCATTTTTGGCAAATTTTCTACAAAAGCCCCACAGGTGTTTCAAGCACAAGTACCGGTGTAATTTATGCCTTCGTAACCCCAAATCCAGCATCCAAACAAATCTTGCCACTCACACACATCATTTTCCGTGCAGACGTTCCAGGTTAATTTCCTTCCATTTCACTCTGATCACAAGAAGCTGACCTATAGTGGTGGGTTTCTGCTTCCTCTCTGATTCAGATACTCATCCATTAGAGATATGCATCTTTTTTTTGGTGTCTGTATCCCTGCTGCTCAATTTGCAACAGTCTCACTCAGTCTTGTAGGCTGAACCTTTCACATCCAGTCTGTTAGTTTATTACGGAGTCTATTCCATTCAATCATTCAAGAGGGAGTTAGTCTGAAGAGGGACCACAGTTGCTGATCAAATATGTAACACTTCTAATAAGTCTCCTTCTCTGGGATATATCCTCGAAGGTACCGGTTGCTCTTCAGGAACATTCTCTTTTAATGCACAATGGCTGAATCATTTGTGGATATTAAAGGGACACTGTCAAGTACTTTTTAAATAGTTTTTAGGGTTTGGGCTTTTTTTACTCTCCATTGTTTGTAATATTCTCTTATAAGCTTGAAAATTTCCCTACCAATTTTGTCCTTTTCCGTTTGGGCACGTATCGTTCTCTCCGCTTACTCTATTCCTTTCACCATCCCCATCCTTCTGCTCTGCACCTTTCTTCTGTGACAGGAGGAAATCCACATTACTGATTTCG